AATCTCAACCCCTAGTTCAGCACAACTTCCACAGCATGGTGGACTTCACTTGCAGTTTTACAGCAGCACTGAGGATTTTTCTACCCACTGCACTTGCCTCCTCCTTTCAGACATATCCAGTTTTAGTGAGATGTAGTGTGTAATTACAAAACCCCTGAAACTGTGTTATCTTAACAGTGAATTTTGTTTTCATTCAGGTAGGCATATGCAGTAATAAAGTAATTTACATTCATCTGAAATTGCAGTTTTATTATTTTGTACCAGAATTTAGTCTCTTAATAAGGAACAAGCAGATCAAACTGAATACCTGCTATTTTTTTCTTTCCTCCTTTCAAATTGCTCTACTTTAAAATGCCTTGCTTGCTGAGTAGGCACAGCTTGTGTTTAAGTGGCCCTTCTCAGACTAGGGGTTAAAGGTTTCTTTGGGAGACCCATGTTTTGAAAAGAATGGCTTCATCCTGAGTTGTGTCAATTATAGAAAGGTCACTCTCCACAGCCAGAGCCCTGAAATGGTTGTTGTGTTAAAAGCTGTCAGAGGCTTTCCTAAAAACTGCTGGGATAGCAATATTAACTTGGACATAATAAAAGGAAAGGTGAGGTAGAAAAACTTTTTACCCTTCCCAGCTCTAAGAATTTGTCTTTTCCTTATTCCTTGTGTTCATCCAAACCTGTCATTCATTTTATTCCACTGTGGAAGATTACTTGCCTAAATATTGTTCTTCCCCATTCCCCCAGGTTATCAACATTTCAGCAACCTTCTACAAAATGTCAGAAGAACAAGAAGTAAACTTTTCCAACATGCTAACTGCAGCAATTTAAGACATAACCAGCAGTTCTGTCTCCTTGTCTCCTCTACAGGAGGTTACCACTCCCAAAAGAGCAGCATCTCCACCTTTTCAAATGTGCAAAGCTAATTAGAGTGGGGCCGGGATAAACCACCAGAATTTGCACTGAAGTGCCCCAGGCAGATGAGCACATTCCAATTCAATAATCCTGCTGCCCTATCTTTGCACAGAGATGGCAACAAAAAGCTGCAGGGGAGGGAATTGGGAAGTGTGTTAAACACTGCAGTTGCCTGCTAAGTGACCATAATTGCAGACCTGAGCTGTTCAGGTTCCTGCCTAGAACCATAGGGTCTCTCACCTGTGCACGATCTGGAGGAAGCTCAGCAGTAATATACACATTCTGCCTTGCACTCAGGGATGTGCCATTCATCCAGTTTGACCTACAGCCAGTCAGAGATGAAAACCAAACCAACGAACACTTGCCTAAAAAGACTTTCATGACGACGAAGCCAAAGCCAGTCCCTCCACAAAAAAACAGGAAGAAGCTGAGGTGCAGCAGCATTTTTTTGGAAATAAAAGCAAATCCATGAAATGATCAAGCCCATAAAACAATAACTCAGCTTCCTCACCCAGCTGTATTTGAACTGATTTTCCCCCCCAGTACATCCCATGCAAGTATCCTGTGTCAGCACTTGTTTCTAACACTTGCTTGGCAATTAGCAAGTTTAACACAGACCACAGGTCCTGAGAGCAAGATGCTGCTCAGTCCTGAACACAACTCTTCTGTTGACCGAAAGTGAGTGCTCAGTCACACCATCCCACCATCACAGCACACCAAGGTCTGGGAGGTGCTTTGACTTATTCAAACATTCTGTTCTGCCTTCTCATTGCAATTTTTGTAATAACCAGAGAAAGCCTTACTGTGGTGTAGCGAAGAAAACCCCTGAACCTCACCAGTAAAAAGCATTCAATTTAGGTGATTAAAGTCTTTTTCGTGACATGTAATTTCTCTGTATTTTTAACATACCCTTTCTTAGCTTAAGAAAGTATTTCTGGTTCTTATTTTTTCTTCAGATTGCACTGTCTTTGCCATCCTCCACTGGAATACAGTTTTTCTTTCAGAGAAAAAGAATCCATTTGTTGCCTGCATTGCTCATACTAATACCACAGGACAGACTGTTTACTATGGGTCAAATTCTGCTGTCCTTGATGCTTGATATTAGAATTCATCTGAGAAAGAAGAAGAAACAGGGATGTAGTCCCAGCTGCAAGCCAAAGTTCTTGACTTCCCTTCTACTAAATCAAGCTTTTCACAGAATCACAGAGTGGGTCAGGCTGGAAGGGACCACAGTGGGTCACCTGGTCCAACTTCTCTGCCCCAGCAGCGTCATTCCAGAGCACATGGCACAGGGCTGCATCTAGACAGGTCTGGAATATCTCCAGTGAGGGAGACTCCACAGCCTCTCTGGGTAATCTGTTCCAGTGCTCAGTCACAGGAAAGAAGTTCTTCCTCATGTTCAGGTAGAACTTCCCATGTATCAGTTTCTGCCCGTTACCTCTTGTGCTATTGCTCAGCATCACTGAGCAGAGCCCAGTCCATCCTCTGACATCTCCCTTCAGATATTTATAAGAATTAATAAGTTCTCAGTTGCCTCTTCTCGAGGTTGAACAAGCCCAGCTCCCTCAGCTTCCTCTCCCTTTGAGATCTCTAACTACACCTGGAAGCAGGACATCCACACAGTACAAAAAGCACACTTTAACGACTAAGCCCTTCTTCAGCATCATCCGGGCGGGCACATCCTCACCAGCGATCAGCTTCCAGAAATCACATGACTCTGCGCACTGATGCAGCGAGGGGCCAAACCGAATGACCAAACCAGGCTGTTTTCAGGGAGATTTCGCGCGGACCCCGCGGGTCTGGACCCACCTCTGCCGGCAGGGGCCGTCGCCGGGCCGTCGTCGCCGGGCGGGCGCGGCGGCCGCAGCCCGTTGTTGAAGGTCGGTCCCTCGGCCGGCTGCAGCTGCCAGTTCAGCCCCAGGAGATGCATCGCTGCGGACACAAGGGCGGGAGACAGCGGTCATCTCAGTGCAGAACACCGTAAAAAAGCGACTCGGCTCAGAGGAATGGGAATATGCAAAAAAAATTAAAAAAAAAAACAAGGGCAACGACAGCGACAAAAAAAAAAATCCCAAACAAACAAGCACGTCTGGTGACTCACACACATCTGTCTTAGTCTTTTTGTGCAGTTATCAGATCTTCTAAATTACTGAAACACAAAAGGCAAAATGCTTTACAAACCAGGCGATCACAACAAGCATTCTGTTCAGACTCTGGCATCAGGCACCACTTTCCGACTCACACGTTGTGGGGGGACACATCCTGGGAAACAAAGCACTGCTGCAAGTACCAGCTCCGAGTTTAAATTATAGGTGGTAATTTATACGCTGATTATAAAATCAGCTTTAGCCCTATGTATACTAATCATATTGTAATGCAATTACTTTGTGTTTAGCACAACTTATTCAAATCAACAGATTAGAATAATAGAATCTCAGAATGGTTTGGGTTGGAAGGGACCTCGAACCTCATCTTGTTCCAGCCCCCTGCCATGGGCAGGGACACCATCCACTAGACCAGGTGTTCAGAGCCACATCCAACCTGGCCTTGGACACTTCCAGGGATGGGGCAGCCACAGCTTCTCTGTGCAACCTGTGCCAGGGCCTCACCACCCTCACAGAGATGAATTTCTTCCTAACATCTAATCTAAACCTACTCTCTTTCAGTTTGAAGCCATTGCACAGCCTCTGTCTTCATTGTTGATTAGACTTTTCTGACAAACCCAGGGCTTTGCCAATGCTTTGACCTCAAAATCCTGGGCCACGCACGGTCCCACCCAGGGAAGGTTTGCCTGCTCACAGCACCTGCTCGTGGCCTCTCCAGCCATTCCCCTGCCAGAGGCAGGACTGTGTGGCCCATGGCAGAGGCTGTGCAGCTGCACCTGGAACATAAACTGTGGAGCGGGATCAAGGCCAAGGCAACCCCCCTGCAAGCGCATGAGTTACAGGCACTGTGGCAGGGCTAATTGAATAAGTCCTGTGCATAATGCATGAGACTTGACAGGTTTGAATCGTTCAGCCAGTGGATTTATGTGCATCTTCACCTTGTATCAACAGAAGCTACCTGCAAACATCTCCACACTTTCATCATATTATCCCCATGGCATTCTCACAATGCAGAGCAGTGGTGACAGAGAGAAAAGGCCACCAAGCTGTTTTTATTCCCTTTCTTTACGCCCACCATCAGCACTCTTCCTGCTTACACAGGTTGTGTGCAAACATATATACCACAGAGAACAGCATTTTCAGTTATGTAAAGAAGTGTCTGAGAGGATTCACTGTCAATTTAGGGGCAGAAAATAAATATAATTATGGGCACCCTTAGAATTGTTCACCTCTGCAGTGTCAGATCCACACCACATTAGCAGATATTTTGCATCCAATTCCAAGTAAATGTAGCAGAGCTGGTGTGGTCACAAATAGCCCAGCAGTGGCCACCTGCTAAGTGTTCAGAGACTGAATGGGAGGGATAGGAAAGGCAAAAGACTTCTCACAGGAACTGCCATTTACAGTGCTTGAGCCATCACTCAGATAATCTCTGAATACAGGGAATCCATTTATATGTGATCTATTCACATAAGTACTCCTAAACCCAAAGAAAACAAAGCAAAACATCTCCCATTTCCAGAATCCATCTATTCCCAACTCCTGAGAAGCTCTCAGCACACAATCTATGCAGAGTTTAACCTTTCTGACAAAAGCAGCTGGGGAGCAAGGCAGCTTTCCTAACACCATCTTCCCCTGGACATATCTATGGACTAAGCAGACATCTCAGAACAGTGAATAAAATCAAGAGACATTTTGTGTGAACAGGGCATTCGCCAGACTTCACATTGATGCTGAATTTACCATTTTTTTCTATTATGAAAAAACCCAAAACATTAAAGCTTCTGGTATGTTAAAAAATACCAGGCATGAACCCGAAAAGGATGTTTGGCTGAGAAACTGCTCAAAATTTACTTCTAGGGAATGCTTAAGAATTCCTTGAAAATATACAAATGTTTTATTTGGTTACAACTTTTTTTTTTTTCTGTTTTGCCAAAACAACCATTTTAAAAGGCTTTTTTAGTCTTATCTCAAAAAAATAATTTTCCTTTTCAGTAATGCAAACGAAATGGAAAAATCCCTCACAAAACTCAAACACCACCAAGTCGCAGCTCATACGGGCTGTGCCCATGGAGCAGAGACATCTGTGCTGGGGCTGTGACAGGGCTGGGGATGGAGGCAGAGGAGCAGCTCGGGGCATGTTTGTGCTGTCAGCAATTCCCACACCATGCACAGGCACCAAGTTCAGCTGGACCAGCCCCGAAAGCCAAGAGTGCATAAAGATTAAGTGAATTTCAAAGCCCCAAAATGAAAACAAGTCACAGAGGAGAATCAGACTTTTGTGGTTTATACTCTCAGTGAATCTATTCAAAGTTGCAATTTTTTTTATTTCATTGCAAGCATAAATGTAGGTCACTTGCAGAGATGAAAGCCTGCTGCTTCTAGTGTGCACCAGTCCTTACAAAGGAGAGATAAGGAAATCATAACTAATAGTCTGTCCAAGAGAATTATAGTTGCTACCTTATAATTACCAGGTAAATTCAGACAATGAATTACAAGAGATCTTATTAACATGGTATTAAAAAATCCCCATGATCCATCTGCTTCCAAGTACACCATGGTTTCATTAATAACTTCACTGCTCTGTGTTTTAATCATAGATGCACGTTAGGTGGAGGAGCAATTAGAGCTCCTTCCTAACGGGGCAGGGATTCGCATGTCTGCTCTATCCCTCACAGAGCCCGAGAACCTCCTGCCCAGCTCACACATCCATCAGGTGAGCTACAAACTTCCACTAAGACAGCTCGAGTCACAGACACGAGGAACATTCACCTTCTACCAAGAATAAGTCGAGCAAAGTGTGTCACGGGGGCCTGAGGGGAAAGCTCCGTGTTTGCACCGCAGCCAGCAAAGCTGACTGGCAGCCGAGCAGGGAGAACCAGGAGAAACCCATTCTCTCCTGCTTCACAACGCTATGAGATGGCAAATTTATATGATTAACCTTTTGTTCTGTTAATCAAACAAAAATGCCTCCAGTAAAGGAATAAGTTGAAGCCCATTTAATTAGAAATACGGGGATCCATTCAGACGTTGAACGCGTGTGTGTCAGAGGAGAAATTTGGGCTAGTGAATTTGTAGCTGTTTCCTTTTTTTTTCTATTTTTCTTTTCTATTCTGAACCTACAACTAAATAATCTTTGTGGCTTTGCCTTCCCAACAACACATTTTCTTCTGATATTACAGTACTGGCCACATTATCTCCAAAGGATGTTCACCAGACAGCTCAGTTGTGATACTCAGCCACAACCAAAGCTAATCACCAAAATATTTTCCAAACTAGCCAGCTTACTGAAACGTGTTTCCAGAGGTCCACATTTGGTTTATAGATAAACCTTTGGAAACAAACACATCCCTGAAGATTTAAAACACAAAGAGGTGCCATTTTATCTGCATGGTGTATTCATAAATTACATTTTACAGAGCACTTATGTATGTTTTGTAGGAGTTATTTTTACATGTTTGCTTTTTATCCCCTCAACATTTAAGCATATTTGCTAAGTTCTTGTCTCTGATACCTGATTTTCAAACACTGAGCTTGTCAGAATTTATCCGGTCCATTTAACACTAACATCTACTAACTCAAAATAGTGAATTTTGTATTTATATTCTCTAAAACACAAGAATTCAGAAACAATAAATTTTGAAGCAAAACCTTTGAGATTTAGGTAAAAAATAATAACCTCTCACTCCCAACCTAGCAACACACACATGTACAGAGAATGAAAGCACCTGGAAGCGAAACCTGCATTGCCCTTTAAGAACAAAGGCAGAGAACTGGTTCATCACTCCAGGTGGTAGAGCTGTCAAGGATCAGCCTAAGACTTACATAAGATAGAGGTTGCCAGAATGAATCACATCTTATTTTAAGAAGTCCCAAAAGGTAAAAAAAAAAAATCCACAGAAAAATGAAAAAACTTACATGCAAAATTTTCTTGAACGTTCTCCAAGATTCAGTAGTGTCCCCACATTCCTCTTTGATTAGTCCTCTGGTTCTGGCCATAAACCCACTCCATTCAGAGTTCAGTCTAATGGACAATGGTTTCCAAGCTCTGGAAGCTCTTTGTCTTATCTTTGTGCTCCTGTCACTCTTGACCTTGTATTTTTTAAAGTGAGAGACCTCTGGTGTCTTTGTGTGCTACAGATCTCCCTGTGGCACAACTCAGTGTCTGCCAATAGGCAGTGCAGAATGAGGTTTTTCACTTATCCCTTTACTCCATGGTATTCCTTCTTAAAGTGAGAAATATGCAGATTAATGATCCATCATTTTCCTCAATTCCTACTGCACCTTCCCAGTTAGGGTCTGGAAAATAAGCACTGCTTGCTTGTGAGAAAATTCGGTGTTCCCTAAGCAACTCAAAAAGATGGAAAGATTGTAAAAGTAAACAAGATCCAGAATATTTACATATTTTAATTTTCCAAGTTGTCATGCTTAGTAAACCCTAAATTATTGTCATTCAAAATGAACTCATCAAACTGTGATTTCACTTTGTCAGGATATAGTGATATCATGTTTGTCTGTAGTAGGCCAACCTCTTTTCATAGGAAAATCACTCTGTTATATAATGAAAAACATGAGTAAATAAACCCTAAAAGCACATTTCTGCACATATACCATTTTATTATAGCAGCAGAAATGCTCAAAGTTTCCTTTCCATCCACTCATGAGGTGAACAATGATGTAACTCTGGCTATTCCAGTACACTTAGTCTTGAGCAACATCAATGTAATTTCCAGGTCAGGCCTAATGAATCACAGACATGACAAAACAAAAGGTACCTAATAAATCTTAGCAGAATTTAATTTCATAGCATATATATTCAAAGACCTA